GTGTTATGCACAAACAATGAATCATGGAAGACTTCATCTAAAACTAATGATGTAATGTATGGGGATTAACATAAGAATAAAAAAAAAATCGCAAAAAAAAAAAAACACATAATTTTTTTTTTTTTACGTATAAGTACGTCTCATCTAATACTTGAGACACCACTTATATTAAAACTATGTGTGCAATAAAAAAAATAAAAAATAAAAAATAAAAATAAATTCACCACCACAGGCTCTGGGCACCCAGGAAGGCTGCCTCCTTGGAATTGCGCTCTCAGGTTTTACCCTGGAGGCTGGGGTGCCCATCGTGTGAGGGTAACGATCAGGGATGGGGTGCCAGGCCAGCTCACAGGAGGAGAAAAGGGGAGCTGAGTGACAGGCAGGAGCTCTGGGGTCTGCATAATTCATGAGCGAGAGAACTCCTGCGGAGCTGCCACCAAAGAAGGGACATCACGAGTCACCAACGCTAGATGGCTGGAACTTTAGAAGCCTGCCGCGGTGCGCTCCCTCCAGTGAACTTCCCGAACCAGATGGGAGAGTGTTCCAGTCCTCCAGCTGGGGTCACCCACGTCCCGGGGCAGGGAGGGGGATACGACACAGGTGCTCTCCGCGACATGAAGCCTCTTTTCTCCTTTACCTCCCCCTTCCACATCTCTCCCGCTAGACCTCCCCCTTCACCCCCATCAACACACTGTTACAGTCACACCCAGCACCGAGAAGGAGGTCAAGGGCAGGAGGCCCTGCTGCCAGGTTCCCCTGGCCCTGGTCTGTTTGCTAATGTCAAGGCTGGTTCTTTCTGGAGGGCTGGCACAGTGCCCGGGGAGGGGGCCGGGGCTGGCAGTGAGGTAGCCGAGGGGGCTGGCGGGGGTCCGGGGGAAGGGGCGGAGGTTGCAGGGAGGACAGCCTGCAGCAGGGACAGGGGAGGGCCACTGGGAAGGAGCCTCAGTAGGTAGAGGAGGGAGGAAGACACTGAAGGGGATGGTGGTGGGGGATGTCTCAGTTCCAGTGCAGGGGTGCAGCTGCGGGGCTCTGAGGCAGAGCGGAGAACGCTGGCCTGATGGGGATTCTGTTCAGCGGGGGCTGCTGGCCCTGGGGGCGGCGGGGCTGGGGACCCTCCCTGCGACCAGGCCGGGTGGGGCTGCGGGAAGCAGCACTGACTACGGAATCATGTTGACGTTCTGTGCTGCTCTCCAACCCCCTTCTCTCCAGACCCTCTCTTTCTGCTTTTCCCTCTCTCCTCATTCTTTCCACCTCTCTCCTTGCTTTCTTTCTCCTTTACCCGACCATATAAAATAGGCCACTTAAAATCTATTAGCAAAGCTGGGTAGATTTTTTAAAAATTTACCAAGCAGGTAAGGACATTTTTTTCTTTATCTCATAAATAAAGCTTAAGAAATGATTTCTAAAATTCTGTGTGATCTTTGACTTAATTTATCAATTGGTTTAATTTATTAATGAGAACCTTTGAAAGTTTCCACATATTAATGTAAAAGGAGGCATTCATTTGATATTAAGAAAGAAAAACAAAAAGGACACAGACCCTCTAGGTTTTACAATGTCCCCAAGTCAGAGAATGTTCTTCTCTCCCAAAACAAAACATCCTGCCTGGCTACCAGGAGTTCAGCCCGAGGCTTCCAGTCCCAAACCCTGACTCTCACCTCTGTCTCCTTGAAATACTCACAGTTTCCACATTGCCCATGGCTGCCACAAATTTAATATCAGAAGGTCTCACAGAGTGGACTGCAAAGACAAGAACCCATTTAAGAAGGTCAGATCTACCTTCCCCAAGGTCTTAGCCAAAGATGCCAAATGGGAGGGGCAGACCCACATCCGCCAGCCTGAGGTGGAATGCTGAAGACCAGGAGGTCACTGGGACCCATAGGAACCCCGCTGGAAAGAGGCTCACTCTTCTCTGCAAGCCACAGGTGTCCCATGGAAAGTCGCTCATGGCCCTCCTTTGCCCTCCTGCCCGGCCTTCTTTCTATCTCTCGCTTCCCTCTATCCCTTGGCTCTACATTTCTGGGCTCCCATTAATACGTAAAGGGTATCAAGTTAAAACGCAAACCACCTGGGTACAAAAGGGATAATGTTAGCTTGAGTGTCAGAGAACATCGCTCAAAGTCTGTGAACACACGTAAATGTCAGACGCAAGCTATATGCAAATGGTACACCAGGAAGCCTCCGTGACCCACCTGGGCCACCAGCATTTTTAGGATTAAGTCTCCCTAGAAACCACTGACCTCCTGATCATGTTACAGGGCCATTAAAAGTAAACCTCCTAAAGAAACCGTTTCCTAAGAGGTATATTGATTTCTTTTTCTAGCTACACTCCTTATATAATGGAAGAGTAAGAATAGCATGCTTAACTGGAAACTCTAGTAAGTTAGGGCAGTGCAAACATAAGCAAAGCCATTAAACACAGTCTGTAATGCAGCCATTTAATAGGATAAAGCCAGAGAAGCCAGCCAGCTCCAGAGCAACTCTCATAGCATCCAGGTGTTAGACAAATCTAGCCCATTATAGGAGAAAAATGTCTACGGGAGCTACTACCGCTTACATCCAGGAGGGCAGGCAAATGACCACGCTCCAACCCACAGCTCCTGTGGCACCCTCTGCACCCCCAGAGGTGAGCTCCCGGTGGTCACCCTCACCTGTGTGGCCATGTTGGTTTGATCTCTGGTGGCCCTCTACAGAAACGGCTGAGGGGAGAGGAGGAGGCGTGAAGGATGGGGGCTGGAAAAGAGGCCTGAATGGTCAAAAGATGCAAGAGGAGTAGGGTCGGAGCCTCTGTTGGCCACTCCAGGGAGAAACTGCCAGGCTTCCAAGCTCATGGCTCGGGGCCACATACCTGACTTAGGAGGCACGCTGGATCCTGACTTCTCTGAGTTGCATGGGAATGGAAAATTCTTCAGTGTCTGCAACTGAAACCAAACATCAGAAACATCAACTGCCTTATAAAGAAGTATGGCAGATCCTGAAACCTCGGTGTACTTTGACCATGTACTTGTCTCCTCTAGGCTCAAAATCTAGAGGCAACTATGATTATCCGTAGTCATGTTCATCTAACTCCATACCCTGTTCACCTAGTAAAAGGGGACGTGTGTCTACTGACAATGATCTTAGCAAGTGGCAGGTAAGGATGCCTCAGAACAGTTGGGGGGAGGTGGGGGACAGGGAGGAAAGAAAAAAAAAAAAGAATAAAAATCAATTCTTGGGATGATGAGAAAGATCTGGAGACAGAGAGTGGTGATGGTTGCCCAGCAATGTGATTGTCTTAATGCCATTGAATTGTACACTCAATGTACACATAAAATGGTAAATTTTATGTTATGTGTATTTGACCACAATAAAAAAAAATAATTAAGAGACCCAGTATATATAGACTAAAAAGTTAAAAACTCCATTCTTTGCTATCATGTTTTTTATATTATCTACTTTCCCTCTTTTAATTTGATTATCTACACAAAAGCAGATATAGGAGGCATTATGTTTATTTGCTGCTGGAAACGGTAAACTGGAAAATGGGAACTCTCAAGTACACCTCCCCCCCCCCCCAAGACTGGTGTGTCCTAAGCCAGAGGACTCCTCGCTGCTGAGAGCAGAGGAGGGACTGGGTGACCAGTACTCAGGTCCTCAAGACCATCCGGGCCTCCCCAGATCCCCATGCAAGCCCAGAGCATCCTCTGCTTCTGTGAATCACATGGAAGGCTTGGGGAAGGGAGATCAGGTTTTCTCCCCAGAAGCAAGAGAAGAAAGGGAACTATTCCAACAGGGGAAAACATGCAGTGAATAAGGTGCTTGACCACATCTCGCTGTTACAAGACACAGGTTAATTTCTCTTGAATTACTAACTTCGGTAAGAGATAAAGAATTTATGCTCAACTCTTATCTTGTGGATGTTCTGGGAAGACCTCACCCAGATGCCTTCAGATAATTCACAGCATCTGCTTCAAAGTTCACAGAGATAACAAGCCCATTTATAACTCTTTCTGGGCATTTCTAGGAACCGCCAGCTTAGTGTGCAGGGGTGATGAGCCCCAAATTCCAGGAGATAGAGTTGCACTATCTCCGTTGTGCCAGGCCGCCTGACCGTTCCCCCCAGGTTTCAGGGAGGGGCTTGCCAATTTGCATCAAGAATTGGATTTAGGGGCGCCTGGGTGGCTCAGATGGTTAAGCGTCTGCCTTCAGCTCAGGTCATGATCCCAGGGTCCTGGGATCGAGCCCCACATAGGGCTCCTGGCTCAGCGAGGAGCCTGCTTCTTCCTCTCCCTCTGCCTCTCTCCCTGCTCATGCTTTCTCTCTCTCTCTCTGTATCTCTGTGTCTCAAATGAATAAATAAAAAAAAAAAAAGAATTGGATTTACCTGCTAGAAAGGAACCCCACTCCCCCCCACTTCTCCCACCAGGACAAAGCACCTCACCTCGGGCGATTGTTGCTCTTCCGTGTTCTCTCCAGGCGAGGTGTGGGCCTGGGTGGGTCCTAAAAGAAAGCAAATATAGCTCAGATTATTTAGCTGGAAATAACACCCACCCAGATTTGTAGCTTTCCTGCCCTTCCTCCCAGCCCTACCTAAGTGCCCAACTCAGTAATGTCCCTTGTGTTAGGAAAGTCCAGATTCATTCCTCCAACGATCACCTCCATTGTCTGGGACACACGCTTCCTTTAATGCAGCCTATGAAGGGAGAATTGCCAGGTTGAAAAGCCAAAGTGTGATCTGGGAGGGGTCAATACTAACCCTGTATCGCATTATTATCTAGCATGTTACCACAGATACCTTCACTTGTTCCTTAGCAAAGGGCAGAATTCTTGAGGAAGGTAACGTTGGACGAATACCTGCTGTTGTTTGGGGATCCGGGACAAAGCAGGGAAGGCAAAAGACCTTCTGGAATTGTCTGAAGGGTTATGTGAATTTAAGAGCTAATTGTGGGATTCCCAACAGCTGTGACTGTACATCATGGGCTGGACAGGAGCTGTCCCGAGGGGTCTTGCTGAGTGTGAGGTGGAAGGGAAGAAAAGGCAGGTAGAGAAACTGCAAAGACACTATCCTCATCCCAATTTACTTTGGATCAGTATTTTAAAAATATTTGCATTTTCTTTACCTTTTAAAAATACAATTTACATATGACAAAAGATTCATCTTAAGTGTCTAAGCCAGTAAGTTTTCCCATAAAACATCTTAAATACACAAAAAACAGTGTAGTACAATTAACAGCACTCTATGTAAAGGAACAAAAATTCACCCACAGTTCCACTACCCCAATAACCAAAAGTGATTTGTTCTCCCTCTTGGGTCTATCATCAGGCTCCGGAGCAGGCACACTGTCCATTTAACCAATGTGGATGCAATCTTGTGTCCTGCAAGTTCCCCTTAATATTGCATCGTGAATATTTTTCATGTCGCTATGTCATCTTGATGTTTACTCTAACAGCTTCATGATTTGTTTATGATACTGACATGTAATTGGACATCCCAGTTCCTGGTGACCTTGGACTTCTCCCCGCCCAGTTCTCTGCCCAGGGTGCACGCTCTTTGTCAAAGGCTGGTGAGAACTCCCCAACAGCATTAGACAGTGCTGGGGGTGGGGCTGACTTGGGGGAGAGGGCTTGATTCCTTTTCTACCTCCACCTTCTTTTTGGCCCGAAAAGAATTTATCTGGAGTTTCACAAGCAGATTGCCTGCCCGCCGTAAGATCAGGCACTGGTTTCCATGTTAGAGCTCGTGGCCGCAATGATGGCTATAACTTGCCCCCAGATCTCAGTGGCAAGTTTTAAATTCCCAGAAGAAAGCTTTCTGGGCAGAAAGAGCCACATGATGGGGACCCACAGAGTTGTGGATAAGCACAGAGTGCGGAGCAGGTTTGTAACGGGAGGGAAGGGGAGTGGAGGGCAGGTAGAGGAGGGTAGAGGAGGGCAGCTGGGCTGTGGAGCTGCAAATGCCAGGCTCCTCCTCTGTGAGCAACAGGGACTCACGCTGATGTTTAAAAAGATGAGTGTTAACATGTATTTTAAGATGATCTTTGCTCTGGGAATAGTGAGGCTGATGAATTAGCAGGGCAGAGAGGTGAGACTATTTTTGTAATATATTTTTTAAAGATTTTATTTATTTATTTGACAGAGAGATAGAAAAGCAAAAGCAGAGGGAATGGCAGAGGGAGAGGGAGAAGCAGACTCTGCACTGAGCAGGGAGCCCGATGTGGGACTCGATCCCAGGAC